AAGCTTCTCTCCCAGGCTCTTATCGACCTGAGCCATAAAATCGACTTGTAACAGACACAATAACATAACTGATGTATAAACACCATGTGTTTGACTACACTTGTCAACAGACTGGGTAAGCTAGGTGGCTAACGGACCGGCTAACAGGCTAGCTCCTTCGCTCAGTTAGCTAAACAAGGCTGCCTCGGTGCTAGGTTCTTACCAAATGTCCTCCTTTGTTTGAAGGGTCTGTCGGACGGCATCTCTGTCGGTGTTATTACACAGTTGTAGCCTAATGAGCACCACTGCTTATAGCTCGGTCACAAACAACGGAAGCGTTTAAGATGACTATCTCCTCCGGTCTCTCCTTTGCGTCTGAATCCAAAACGGCTCCGGTCAAACAAAGCAAGCAAACAGAGGCGCTGACGTCATCCGCTGGATTTAAAGGGGCCGTACGATTATTAAACTGTTGTTAACACGTTACTAAATTACTCTCATAGTGCTATAAAGGTATCTAATCACGGATGTAGTATGTAGGTAATGATTTTTACTCATTTGAGAATGTTATAAATATAAAGTTACATGTCCCAGACATTTGTTTCATTATTCTGTTTCGGCCCAAGCTGTACAACATGGTTAATGGATTTTCATCTGCTCTGTCTGTGATTGGTGTCCATGCAGTTTAGACTTGGATTCACGTTGTTAGTTTTATAGCAGCTTATTCAGCTTGGGTCAAACTGGGTCCAAAGAGAGCTCAGCTATGTTGGATAACATTATGTACTTTTCTTTTTCTGTGAAGGACTATTTATCAATCAAAATGATCATGTTTATGTAGAGCCCATATAACCCAAAACTTCACACATTTCCCCGCACATTTAAGTGTAAAATCTCTGTTTTAGACTGAATCCAGGTTGTCAAGCCATTTTTAAGGATGATCATATGGAAATTTAAAGCTGGGTGTTTTGCTGGATCAGTGGCTAAAGCTCTCAATGTGCTGCAGAGATGAACAACACCTGTGCTGCAGCCTGACTATAAAAAGAGTAAAACAGTGCAATTAGAGGACAGTGAACAGGAGTACTTTTACTGTAGCTTGGTTTCATGTTGGTCTAAGCCACTACATTTTAGTGTCAATCTTGTAAAAGTCCAGGGCTTGTTAACCTCTATGCAAAACAGTAAATACTTCATGTGTATACACAGTGTACATGACAAAAACAGAGGTCATATTGATTTTTTTTTTTATTCCTTAATTTGTTACAAATAACCAACAGACATGCACGAGCAGTGTGTGTGTGCGTGTGTGTGTGTGTGGTGTAGTTTGCTGCTCACCACTGAAATACTGTATTTCAACTTGCATTGCCAACAAAACAATAAATAACAACTCCAAGATTTCATTTAAGATGGAACTGAAAAGGCATCCTCCAACCTCAACATGTTGTGGTCTCTCATGTACTGGGCACTTTGCACACTATGCAGTCCAGTTTAAAGTTTCCTTTTTCTTCCATACATTTTTTAACAGATGTGCATTTCTCAACATGTGCTAAAACAGCTATGAAATGAACAGTAGACATAGGCAGGAGACAGAACTGGAATGCTAAAAGAAGGGAGAAATAAAATTGCCTGCAAGATGATTGACTAACATACAGTTGGCCTTTCAGTGAGTAAAGTGATGTATTAAATTTCCTTCCGGTCTGCACTGCTTTGTACAGCAAGTGCATCAAGAACTTCTGGTAAATTGCCTTTAATTTAGCAAAACAAAAAGTGTTCAGCTATCTTAAATATGAAAGACGGAAGAAGAGTAATGAGTCCGGCAGCAGCTCCTTTTGTTTCAGTCTGAGGGATTCTGAATGACGATCAAGAAATAGTCTTTATCTGTGAAGAAAATGACAAAATGGTTCAATTCATAGATCCAACAAACTGTTCAAACAACCTGAACAGGTGTCAGCACTAAGCAACAGTTTGGTAGAAAGGGTTCCATGGAGGTGCGAAATGATACAATGAGTGGTCCCCAAATGACTAATGTAATTTACTTTAAAAAATGTACTGCCAAATGAATGTAATTCAGTGTATTACAGAACCCATGCCCATTACAGACAGAAGTCATTTTTTCACCTTGAAGTTTTTTTTTTTTAATTCTCTCACCTGGTGCGATCATGATCTCGTTCTTCTTGGAGCGGACTCGTAGGAAGGTGAGGTCGTTCTGGGGGTCCATGTCTCGTATGGTGCTCCTGGCCTTCATCACCAGCTGGTGGATCAGGCCTGCATACTGCACTGTGCTGGAGTTGTCCAGAGTCGTCTTGATGGGGATTCCTGAGGGGAGGAAAAAGAAAATGATTCCCATGAAACCAGTTTAATATTAACAATACATTGTATTTTACAAGCTTATGTCTTTGAAAATGTAAACTTTTCCTGAGGAGTGACTATAACTCTGCAACTAAAAATATACTGGAGTTAAAATATGCAACAATTTTGATGATTATCCTGATTATTTTCCCTCTGAAATCTAGGAGTAGAAAAGCAGTGTAAAATAGCAGACAAAAAACAAGACAAATCCCACACTGCTCATCACTTGTGCTCACCTTGATGTCTGCAAACTGGAATGTCAACAATAAAATCAGTTCAAGTGATGAGCAGTGTGGGATTTGTCTTGTTTTTTTGTTTTTTTGTCTGAAGTAATGATTGACTTGATCTTACACACCTTATAAAATACTGGCCATTGTGTGGGGAATTTAGTTTTGAAGTATCAAGTAACATAAAACTGAAATACATTTGAAAGGTTTGGAAAATAGCTGACTAATTGATTAGTTGACCACCATCTATCAGTCATACCAGATTTTTAAGTAAAATGCCAGGCTTTGCTGATTCCATCTTTGCACCAAGTCTTTTGTTTATGTTGAATCTGAACGTTATACTTTTTGTTACTGTTGTTATCCCACCGACATTTACATTGAGCTCTTTATATGACAGTGTTATGATAACCTAACTGCCATTTCATTACCTCAGTAATACCTGGGGGGAGAGTTGTCTTACCTTCTGAATTGACGATGATGATTCCCTGCACTCCCTTCTGACCCTGGATCCTCTTCAGAGTTTCTTCCACCTCAGCCTGAGAGACAAAAAACGAGTTAGCATCATTTAATGTAGCCTCTAAGTGGCTGAACACCCAAAGGACCTCAGAGAACAACATAAGAACATAGCATGAGGCTAACTGCTGTCAAAACACCCTCCTAAAGGAGGGTGACTACCTAACGCTCTACTAACCTGACAACGCCCGGCTAGCATCAACAAGCTAGCCGTAGTTAGTAATTTATTAAAACTCTTCTCGTAAAAATAGATATTCACAACAGTCACGACTGAATATGTATACGTTTATTAAATATACACGAGACGCTCATTATATCCTACCATCGTGAGGAAAAATCTATCTCCAAGCGCAGAAAGATTACGGCTAGCAGGCTCGTTTTGTTGCTAAGAAAAGACAACTGAGGTAAACTTCCGGGTGGCGACTGCAATTCTTCTTCTGCTTTAATATTGGCGGGTGGCAACCAACGTTAAGGTGCACTGTCGCCACCTCATGTGTTGGAAAATGAAGGGAAAACATTTTATTTACTAATCAAAAATGTTCCAAATAATCCACTAAACTGTTGCAACTCCCCGCCCTGAGATCCAAAATGGCTTTAAGACTGTTTTCTATCAAATCCTGCTTTCTGAGTTTGAACTTTGTTTTATATTGTTACTCTGATACCGTGTTGAAATTAACCGCTTACCTTTATAGAAACAACTGACTTAATTCAAGGAAAATGACATGTCCACTCATTAAACTGTGTCAAAGCCTTTAAAAGTTATGTGAATAGTTTAGTAAACAGTGTGGGCGCGGCCAGTGGCTGCATCAAGTAGGACCGATGTGACAAGTCAGGACCGGAAGCCCGACATGGTGCCTTCGAAGTAAAACTAGGGGACTAAAGCCGACTCATACAACAGGAGCGGGAGGCGGTTTTACTCAAGGTAAATGAACCCAACATGGAAGAATAAATAACCTGATTGTTTAATTTATTTTGACTGATTTATTTAGTTTTAGAAAAATGAATGATCACCCTGCATGACAACATCAGGCTATTGTGACATTAACCAGTGATATGATACAACAGGTACACATTAATTTACTGGATGTGTTCTTCTTACTAAAGAAGGGTAGCTTACTTTAGTACAGTTTTTGAGGTAGGCTACTTGTACTTATTGTAGTTATGCAGGGTAAGGCAGACTTATATGGTGTTCCAGGCTACGTTTCTACTTTTAACAGCTATAGTTGTAGTATTTTCCCAATGACATATTAAAAATTAAACCAGTTGGAAATCAACCTTTAACAAGTGGATTTTATATGCTCCTCATTAGGGTTTTTATGTGAGACTAACAGATAAATGTTGTGGAATGACTATTTAATAAACGATTCTCTCTGACCTGTAGTGGAATATGTGGGAGGAAACTGCGATCATATCCTTGAGGCTTTTATTGTATAACCGGAAATCGCACCTTATTCTTGCTGACAAAACCGGGCACTTGACATTCTCACGTTATCGAGTTACTTTACCGAGCTTCACGTTTATCGGGCAGCAGCAGCAGCAGCGGTGGAGGAATGGACGAGAAGGACGAGAAGGACGAGAAGGACGAAGATCTCGGTGAGTAAAGAACAAGAACAAGGACAAAGAAGTTTCCCTTTTGTCTGTTGTCACACCAGGACCGGGGGCTGAGCTGGAGGAAGGAGGAACGGGGTATAAATTCACCGTTTGTCCTGGATAACGGTACAGATTCGTTCCATAAAAGGGGGAAACGTTTTCTTAATCATTTTGAGATACACTGAGCCTCCATCAGGTAACGTCAGTGGGCTGTCTCCGGTTTTAGGGTCAGTCAAATTAAAAGCTGTCACTAACTTTGTACAAATGTAAAAAGTCCATGAAACAAGGGTTGAACGGTTCACAAAACCCGTGGTTCAGATAGTATCATAGTGGACATGAGCAATATTTAAATAAGTAGTGGTCTCCCCGACTGACTGACTCTGTGACTGTCTTCTCACACGTTTCTTTGTTACATGTCTCGAGTTTCTCTCCTTATTCCGATGATAATTAATGCACCAAGGCCATTGACAATGAAAAGAAACAAACTGGTCAGTGAACTTTCTCTGAAGTAGCTTCTAATTGATGGCTCTAAGTCACGTTTGCAGTGCACAAGTGTCGTGCGAGAGTGTTGTGGTTGCATTGTCCAGTCAACGCGTCAGTAATCAGGTTGGCTTTGTTTTCCTAGGAGAGAGGTAGAGACCACTTTGTTTTCCTAGGAGAGAAGTAGAGACCACTTTGTTTTCCTAGGAGAGAGGTAGAGACCACTTTGTTTTCCTAGGAGAGAGGAAGAGACCACTTTGTTTTCCTAGGAGAGAGGTAGAGACCACTTTGTTTTCCCCTTTCTTAATGGCTCTTATCTCCCTCCTCCCACACTCTGTCCATCTCAGCCCAGGTCTTTCCGGGGAAACACCTTATCGCTGCTATTTTTGTCCCCCAGCCTGATGTATTGTGTACAACGTGGAACAACGGGCTGTATTTTTATCAGCAGTCGCTGTTGGTGGCTTGTTAAAGTGTTTGTATTGGGCAAAATCATGACGCACACGTTAAACTGGTGCTCAGGGCCTCGGAAGTGTCCCAGTCGAGGCACTATTGTGTATATTGATGAAGCTGTACAGTGCTGTAGTGTAAAAGCATCTGTTCTCTGGTTTGCTGTGATTGTTTCTGATGATGCTGGGAGCCAAGCCTTGTTATTGTACTTGCACAGCAGTGAAACGTAAGGATGGAGGCAAAATGCGTGATTCACTAAGAGATTGTTGCTGTTGGTGCATTAATTAGTTCAATCAGACAAAGTTCTGGAGGTTTGTCTTGCCCTGCCCTGGAGGAGACTGCGCTCCCAAATGGAGCTGCAACTCACGATTTTCATCATCAGGTACCTTGTCAGTAATTGTTTTGATTAATCAATACGTTGTTTCAACTAAAATATGTCAGAAAATGGTGAAGAGGGCCTGTTATAATTCCCCAGAGCCCAGGGAGACTGGTTCAGATTGATTGTTGTATTCAACCAACAGTGCAAAATCCTCCCATTTGATAAACTGAAAATCACTGAAACTTTTAAGTGGTTTCAAAACTAAAATCAAAATGAAGTCAAAAGTCCAGTCTAGTTGTTTGTGTCTATTTGTTTATAATATATGAAAATAATGCATTCAGTCAGTGGACCGTACTGGAATCCACACAGGTTAGTGCAAACTGCACTGACTACACTTTTTGTTTGGCTAATCTTTAACTGAATGAATCCACAGGAGTCGTGCACCTGGGGCATGCCTAAAGACGTGAGCATGCCTAAAGACGTGAGCTTGCCTAAAGACGTGAGCATGCCTAAAGACGTGAGCTTGCCTTGATAACATTAGTTACAAAACAATTCCAGCTCAAGGTAAAGTCACGATGACGATATGATCGACTATATGGTTTCCACCCCCCTCAGAAAAATTGGTGTGTTGTCCTAATAGTATTATGAGGTGATCACAGATTGGTCACACTCGAGAAGAAATCACTTTATTTTGCAGGAGGACATACTTCCTATTCTGTGACCAACAGCATGGGCTTCAGCATGATTTAGAGCTACAGATGGTCCCACACCACGTTTCCTCTGAAGGAACCACGCCACTTTAGAGCTACAGATGGTCCCACACCACCTTTCCTCTGAAGGAGGATTCCCACACTGTCAGTGTGTCATGTCAGGGAGAGTTGTGCACTTAAAGGGGATAACGTACAGGATTACTTCCTATTCTGTGACCAACAGCATGGGCTTGAGCTACAGATGGTCCCACACCACCTTTCCTCTGAAGGAGGATTCCCACACTGTCAGTGTGTCATGTCAGGGAGAGTCGTACGCTTAAAGGGGATAACGTGCAGGACGTGACTGTCACAGCCTCTGCCACATGTAATCTGTTCCCTCTGGTCTCGTGTTGTAACAAAAGAGGAAATACTACTGTGATAACACAGGGTGCTCTGACTCTGAGCAGCATTTTGGTGCCTGATAAGTTGCTGACCACTTAGTCAAACTGGATGTTGTGTTTCATGTCCCACCGGTGCCTGAAATAATCCGTCAACATGGCCCCGTGCATTATCACGGGGCTGACTTCATTCCGAAACGCCCAGTTAGGCTACATATGTTTACTATGTTGATGGTTTGTGACAGGCTGGTATGTCGAGAAAGGAGTCAGAGGAGTGCTGTACTGATTGTTAGGCCATGGAAACGTGCTTTCTACGTTGATCTACACACCAGATCCAGAGGCTGTACTGTAATCTAATGCTGTACTCAAAGATTACTGTGTTTCTATAGAGATTAGTGAGATTAGCAATGCAGAGAACAGGCAGAATGGCTTGGAGTGTGGACAGCACTGTAGCGATACTGGTAATAACCCTGTAGTGATGTTAGGGTGGCCTGTTGTGTCCAATCAGTTACTCTGGGTAACGGTTTCCTGACATCTTCCCTTCCACCCACACTGCCTGCAACACTGTCCACCCACCTCACCCAAGCTGCAGAGATTTCCATTGTTAGCATTTGACATTTCATGACATGAAAATATATTTAAGGAAGTCATGAAAAGAGTAGAGAGTTTAAACTGTAGTGCTCGAACCAAAGTCTGAGGTCGACCTTCCTTTAAACTGTGGTCAAGTCTGCATCAACATTTAGTGCAAATTTTAACTTTTTAAATTTTATTGCGATTAAAAAAAAATGAATCCACTTACTGTGCACAGGTTGACAATGTGCAAACAACAGGTGGATTGGAACACGGAACCATGTTTCTTAAAAAACAGCAGCTGGAGCGAAACATCAGGACCCGATGTGTTGTCCTGAGGTGTGTTTGGTTTCAGCCAGTCACAGAAACATCCTCTTTTTATTGTTGTCTCACCTGTTCAGGTGTGTTTGACCCAAACATACCAGAGGAGGGACCTTCAGCGCCCCCTCCTGGCTGGCTGGATGACGTCAGTGGATACCAGGGCCACGTTGCAGGAGGTGAGTCTGTTCTCATCTCCTCTAATTTGTTTTCACTTGGACAGTTCCTTCATCAGTTTTATGTTTGTGTTGATGTGTCCAGATGATGAGAACCCACTGTACCCCCCTCCCCCTGCCTACAACCCCCAACCTGAACTCAACAGGAACACTCTGGTGCCCAATGTCAGGTAACATGCACACCAATAATCCACTTCTCTTGTAAAGTACTTTAAGTCTGTGCTTTAAAGTCTATTGAGATTTTAGACAAAAACACAAAGGCATGATGGGATGTATGTGTTGTGTGTGTTCTGCCAGAGTCCCCACCGTGTCGGAGGATGTGGCCAGAGAAGCCCTGATCAAGTTTGTGGAATCAAAATGGATGTACAGCTCCAAACCTGCCAGGAACCTCACTTTCAAAGAGCTCCGACCCATCACTGTGTACCGGGTGGGAGCACGTCATATGGGTGCTACAGGGTTATTACTACAGGGATGATAACTGCAGGCTTATTACCAGTATTGGTACAGTGAATTTGCTAACGATTTAACAACAGACCTGGTCCAACTTGATATGTGTGACCACATTCAAATAACTAGTGCTTTGCAAAATGTTTTTGAATGGTTTTCCTTAAGGTGCATTAACTAGTATAGTCTGAGCCACTAGAGTTTCATGAAACTTAAAATAAACTGTTAATAGCAATGTAAACTAAGGATGCCTGGTTGGGACAATGTGTACAAAATGCATTACACCAGTCCAAAGCTACCGTTAGTGGACTGAGTCCCATCTCCCAGCATTGCAGCAGCACAATGTGAAGGGACGCGGTCAACAAGACAGTCCAGAACGGCACTAACATTACACAAATTAAAATCATAGTAATTAAATACAAAGGTAATATCCTGACCATGCTAGGTGGCTAATGCTACCAAAACAAACAGGTTAGCCTTAGATGCTAACACGATCCAGAAGGAAGAAGGCCACATCTGGATCCAGTCTGAGTCCTCTGGCTGCTTTTAACCCTCTCCATGTCAAACAGCCAAACCCATGTTAACCCTGGTTGTTGCTCTTTCTTTGTCCCACTCTCTCTGTGCTAAAGACGCCACCTCTTCACTCTGACAGCCGCTGGTTCAGACTTTTAGCTGCCCAGAGCTCCTCCATGGCTGTTTGACATGACTACTGGCTGGAAAAACCCTTCTTCTAACCTTGGCTAGGGGGCAGGCGGGGCTGATTTACAGACCGTACTTTGACAACACAGGGTGGATCTGCATGATCCACATCCTGGTCCATGTATTAAAGAATATTTACATTTTGGTCACCATGTACACATTTCCATGAGTCCTTTCTGTGACAGTTTTATAACAATGTCCCTCAGAATTCATTAAGGCACATTACCACGGCAACGATACTAATGACCGAGTCCAAAGGGGAAATGTCAGAATAAAAGCAAGTGGGGCACAACATGTGGCGAACCAGCAACCTGCAGTGGCTATAACTGAAGTCAGAACAACCGCATACATTTGTAACCACAGTAGTTACCTAACTGAACAACAACATATTGACTATAATGATTCTTAGTGGCACATTTTGGCCTCTGTCTGTTCTCATCCCTTTGAAATCCCAGAGCTCTCTCCATCTTTGGAAGGTGGCGTCTGTGTTTACACTTGTCTCCGACCTTCTCTTTCAGTTTTTGTTCTTCTTTCTCCTTCTCAGTTGTTTAGTTGTGTGGGCTGTAAGTCAACACAGTGGAGCTGGTACCTTTTCAGCCATCTCTCCCTTTCAGCTACAGTACTGTTGTGAATTTCCAAACTCTAAACTTTCTGACCTGACTGAAATGAACAACTCTCCTGAATTCACTTTAGTTTTAAAAGAAGTCAGAAAAACAAGCTTAAGTTACTGTGTGCCTCGCTGTATGTCTCATATGCATCCCATGTTGTCTGATCGCCTGCCTCTTCCTTCTGCAGTATCGGCTGGAGACCTACACTGAGACCAGAGCCAGCGCCTGGCAGTTTGAACCCTACACTGGTGAAACTTTACTCTGAGCTGACAAATCACTAATAAAATGAGCTCACTACTGAACCCTTCCTACTGTTAAATCCACACTGACTCCGGCCTCTGTCAGCCAGAACCAGCTCCTGAGGCGCTGAGAGGAAAGCAGCCTGACAAACTGGGCTCCTTGACAGCAAAAACCTACTGGGCAATGACAGTTTTCAAGTCGGCTGCATGAGGATTTTACAGGATGAAATCTGCAACTCAGATTTTATTCATTCTTCTTGGTTTCATTCATGTATTGATCCTAGTGGCACCGGTAGTCTTGATCATTGCTTACACATAACGTTGGTAATTCAGAACATATAAAGCCACATGCATGTACACAGTTGGATCTGTCAGCGCCCGCCCCAGTTCAGAGTACCTCTCTTCATAAGTCCTATTCTGCTGGTGTCTTCTAACAGGACAGGTAGTGGACGGTCCTCAGTGTGGGGTGAGCCCTCCACCGTGGGACGTCCCAGTGCCGCTGCCTCCGAGATACACTGACATGGTGGAGAAGGTCCGCGTGCCACATTCATCCTTCGTAAAGGTACAGCTCTTTTTTTATTTTAGACAGCCAGGCTTTCTCTGGTGTGGTTTCCTACTTGTGTGTTCTTTGTATTTCAGCTGTGTCACAAGTGCCATGGCTGTGGACGAACCCGGTGCACTTTCTGCCATGGTAGAGGCCAGGTGAGCCATCTGGTTTGGTGGATGTTTTGAAAGGATTTAGGTATCTGGTAGCGAGAGTGGAAGGAAGAGAAAGTGGTGGTGTAATACACAATCATCATCCAGTAATGGGTTCAGTTCATGAGCTGCTCACATGAGAGGCTGTACGTTTCTGTAGAACGAGTTATTAACAAATTATTTTCTGCACTGGTTTCCTTAAAAAGCTTTTTTAAAAATGCATCTCACAGTCTCCTAATTGCTTGTTTTCCAACCCAGTAGCTAAGGATATTCATTTTACAATCACATAAGCCAAACTAGATCGGCAGCTCCTTAGAGCTGAGAAGCTGCAAATATTTGGCATTTTTCTCATGGGTGTGATTCTCCCAGCAGCAAATAACGGGGAAACATGACCGTCTGTGCGCCTGCCAGGGCTTTGGACAGTAATAAGTGTCTATGCTTCCAGAAAAAACACAGCATGGAATTCTCTGTTGAGGCAATTTCCTGTGTAACTCAGCCCCCTCGTCTGATTTTGCAGAAGCGTTGTACATTCTGCCACGGTCATGGCCGCTCCAGGAGCAAGCCTTGCACCTCCTGTCATGGCCGAGGTCGCAGGAGGTGAGAGTCCCAGCCTGCCTGCTTCCTTTTCTCTCTCAGTTGAATTTCCTTTTCCAGCTGTCTTGAACTTTCATAGCAAAAGGTGCAAAAGCAGATCAATTGCAGGAAGACCTTGGAGAAGGGAACTGGAACAGGACAGTCATAGAGGTGAGAGACAGCAGACCCGAAGACGAGGACATCAGACTGACTGTGATTTTTGGCAAAATATCTAGGCTCCACATTTTATTCAAGCTGGAACATTTATAGTTTTTACTGGTCCCTCACATCTGTCCAGCTCTTTCAGCCTCTTTTTCTATCTACAGCTATCGGCACCCGGTGTTTCTTCTTCTAAACTGTTACCGTCGCTTTACATATTTGAGCCATGATCAGTGGCCGTGTCCTCAAAATGACCCTGGGAGGAGCTGAGATGTGATGAAGAGACAGCAGTGAGGAGCTACAGCATGTTAGCCAGATGGAAAGCATTCTGTGTCTCCAGAGCTCCATTCTTCAAACAGTATTACCTCATATGGAGTTTTGTTTAACTCATCTGTTAGATCTGCTCGGACACAGAGGTGAGCGAGTCAAAAGAAAGGATGGACCCAGGTGGCTGACTTCAGTGCAAGTAGTGCTCAGTTTATTTACAGTGATATCAACAAGGAAGTGAATAACCAGGTAGATGTGGGACCGGGTGTCGAGCCGCAGAAGTTAAATAACAGTCAGTGGTGGAATGATGAGGGAAAGGCCGGGCTGCGGACGCTGGGACTCACTCCTGGGCTTGTCGTGGTGGAAGGTTGCTGAGGAGACAGAGTTTGTACATGCAGTTAATAGGAGACTGTGCATAACGAGAAACAAACGGGCCTGAAGATACTAGAAAGAACTGGCAGGGGAGTGAACGTAGAGCAGGGAATAAATAGGGAGAACTAATCAGGTGCAGCTGGTGGTGATCAGGGGATATGAAGCAGGTGTGTCAGATAACGTGATCAAGGTAAGGGAGTAAAAACAGAGTGAGGGGAGTGAGAAAGGCAGGCGCAGCCGGGCAAACCTGACATCATCACTCCAGAATCTCCCGTAGTGGAGCAGGCCACAGGATTCACATCATTTTCCTGCTCATCAGTTCGTCCAGGGGTCTTCTCATGCACCGACTGGAAGCATCTGCATTTCTTACTTTTCTACACTTCACTCTTGCTTTGCTTGGTGCAACACCATGTTAGTCTCACACTGCATCTTCCTGAACACCTCTGCTCTCTTCTTTTACTTTGTTTAATTTCTTTCACATTGTGTTTTACCAAGCTGTCGTGTCTCGTGTCTCCTTCCTCCTCCAGGTGTACCTCCTGTCACGCTCATGGCTACAAGACCTGCTCTGTTTGTAACGGCAGCCAAAACCTGCTGCATTTCATCCAGCTCACTGTTACATGGTACGTCAGCACCACACACACTGATTCACACTCAGTCTGCCCCGACCTCTTCCGCTACACATTGTACTTGGTCAAGTGTTTGTGTTTCTGTAGGAAGAACAACATAGCTGACTTCATTCCTGATCGCCAGCCTGACTTCCCTGACAAGAGGTTTGAGAAGGTGACAGGAGATCCTTTCTTCAGCGACGAGAACATTCTGGTAAAGCAACACTTGTTTGCAGTGTGTCAGAGTAAAGCTGAACTGGGAGCCTTGATCAACCAGATCAACCATTATAGATATAGTTACACTGCCTACAATAATTATTTAGTCATAACATTGTATAAAATGCCATAAAATCAGTTGTTTAGGTTTAATACATGCACAATGAATAGACAGTAGTAGTAGTAGTAGTAGTAGTAGTAGTAGTAGTAGTAGTAGACTTGTTTGATCTGAATGGCTGCCTGTTGTACTTGTGTTACACAAATCACACCAGAGGGTTTAAAAACAAGAGTGTGCATAAACAGAATCCAACTGTTCCACTGTTCTGCTGCTCGGCACACCAAAATAAGGAGAAGAAGATGATAAACTACCGGCTGGGGCTGCCTTCTGCTGTAATGCACACCGGCTGACAAAAATCTAATATAATAAAATAAAAACAAAGGTTCGACTAGAAGAGTCTCAGTCGACTGACAGGTCTCTTGTCTGCCCTTCTAGGTGTACCCTATCCAGGGTTTCCCTGATCAAGAGATCTGTGATGTTTCTACCAAGCTGATTAATGAACACCTTAATCACTTCAGTGCCACCAGCCGCATCCTGCAGCAGGTAGGAACAAACAAGATGCAGTTTAATACTCTCAACACTGGAGGGCGCTGTCCTTCTGCTGTAAAAGAAAGTGAATTCATAGGGTTCAGGTTAACCCCAACCTGTACAGAGGAGTGCAGTGGAGACAGAAACTTCATCGTAACGTCTCCTTCTCGTGTGTGACATCCACAGTTCTCCAGACCAACTAAATGGGATTTAGTACAAAACAAATGTAAAAGCTCAGCAGTTAAATCTGTTCAGACAGTCGGTTCAGTATGTTTTACATTGCTAAAGCTTCCTTTGTTTTGGTTTCCTCAATAAAATCTGAATGAGAGATGCCAACTCCACTTCTGACTCTTGTTTCTCTCTGTAGCGTCAGACCATCGAGCTGGTGCCCCTGACCCACGTCTTTTACTTCTACAGTGGAAAAGAGTACAACTTCTTTGTCTATGGAATGGAGAACAAAGTGTTTACCTCCAAATACCCCTCTGTGTGCACTGTTTTATAAGTAACTATGTTGTTACCACAGTCTGATGGGGTTTGTGTACATTCACAAAGAGCAGGTGAGAAAATCAGCCTCGTCCACGTAACCTACCTACGTTAAGCTTTATTTCATGAATAATGATCATTATATTTTTCAATTGTATTCAAAAATAATACTTAACCATTTAATGGAAAGCCTGTTAAAATGTCACACAAGCATTTTTAATGCTCCCTGTTTCATTTAGTTGTAAACTATAGTGCTGTCAGGACGTAAACTGACGAGAGTCTCTCTTTCAGAATAATGAAAAGCTACTAGTAAAGCAGTATTTTATTCATGTCTGCAAATGTTCTGTCAACTTTGTATCACATGATGTCTCTTTCCTCAGCAGCCGACACTTTGAACACACTTTAATAGTCAGTCAAGGAGTATATGACTTTTTTAAATGATGTCAATTCATACGTTGACATTTGAGGCGAATCACTTCAGAATGAAGAGACTGGTCGGCCAGTCGAGCTCCAGCACTGAAATAATGGGTCAAACCAGGGTCGCTGAGTGATCGGTCGGACCAACTCGTGGGTGGTGTAGTCAGTGTGGTGACTGGGTCGCAGTGGCGGCTGTGACAACATACACGGATCCATTATTACCTGTGGATTGAGGGGCTGCTGGGTGAGAGAAGCATGAGGGTTAAAGGGGTATTTCACAGATTTTAAACTGTGTGGAAATCATCAGATGTGGTGATACCTTGTAAAACTGGCAGATTTCTGCTTTACCCACATGCCCTTGGTGTGTGTCGCTGGTCGCCGCTGCACTTTGCTTTTAGATCTGACTTCACCTCGACCCTTGTGCTGCTGCAGTTTTCTTCTGTTGCACCAGTTCTTATCTTCACTTATGTGACTTTTGATAAAAGCCCCACATTTCTCAGTGTAAATGTACAATATTTACTTTTCTGTGTGAACTGAATTAGTCAAACTGACACTAAATGTATGAAGTAAAGACCAGTCAATAGCAGTGTTTTATTCAAATGTATTATACTAATATAAAAGTATGTTCTTCTAATATGTTGTTCTGCCTCACTTCTTTATAGGCTAAAGCAGATTAGCACAGAACATACAAAAAGGGTATACGCTGCTAGTTTAGGCACACAAAGGGTATAATGCCAGCGAGAAGGGTACGGTGCCACTGAAGGCATCATCAGCCTCAGTGTGATGCAGGGGTCAGCGTGACAGTGACTCATGAATGCAGCACATGTAAAACCTACACACAGTCATGTCCTAGTTATGAAGACACTCTGGCATAATGCATCCCCTAAACCCTCACCCTAATACTAAACCCTAAAGCCAGGTCTGAACCCTCAAACAGCCTTGGAAGGGGTGAGGACCAGACAACGACCTCACGGTGGTGGTTTTGTGAATAAAACCATGTGCAGATGATGGACACACCTCCTCATTCAGTGGTTTTATAGATGTAAGTTAAGAACTATAAAATATCACATTAAAACCTGTAGTAAACAAAGTGTTAGTGTTTCATATTTTACATGAACTCAGCCAGTTTCATGACGAGGTCACCTGAATGGTTTCCAGTTAATATGGGAGCCTTGCCCAAAGTTAACTGGTGGGACTTCTTGTCTTAATGTGTTGGAGGCCATCAGCTGTGTTGTAACAGGGCTCCTTCATCACTTTAAGACAAAAAGGTCAGTCAGTCCAGAAAATGTCAACTTTGAATGGTTTTTCCAAGTGCAGTACAAATGAACAGAAAAACAACAGACGTCTAAACCTTAGACTGTTATGTATGTGTAGTGTGACGCTATAGGATCGATTTGTCATCACGGATTAAAGATACTCCTCTAGTGACACAAAGATAACAGAGATGAAGGACGGAGAGACGCCGCAGGACCAGATAAACTCAGTAATCCTAATAACTTCCTGATAGCAATGCTTTTGTGTTTTTTCTCCAACATTATTTATCTGTGTTTTCAAATCTCATCACACATTCAAAGGAACGGCGCAGGACGTTCAGTCTGTCCCGTGGGTCTGCTGAAGGCTTCGGAGATAAAACCTCCAAACTGCCTGAGTTTCATTTAGGTCCATAGAAGAAAAGTTCACAAATGACAGTAGTTTTCATAGTTCTATTTTGTTCAGAAACAAGGTTTATGGGTTTTAATATTCCATCAGAGTCTTTATTTAAAATCGCTGTCTGGGGAAGGTAAGTGTGAAGGCCTTCGCTTTGTCACGCCACATTTTTAGGGGATTATAAAAACCTGACAACTTCATTTCTGTGTTAACAAATTAATCCCACAAGAGGGAGCTCTGGTCTAAAGGCTGTTTACTGACAGGAGCCAAAATGTGTCCAAGAAAACATCCACCCTCGACATTTAAAACGATTCTCATTTGGGTTTTGGTGACAGTTTTCCTGATGATCTTTTAGCTTTGTTTGCAGCGATGAACACATCGTAGAGAATGTAAAGATGCCTGTGTCTCCAGAAGGAAATACAGCAGGTCACCTGATGGTTTTTGACCAAATCTAACGTATTATTTTCCTGTTGGGGAAAATGTGCTCTTTTGTTCCAGATTAGAGTCATTAGGAGTTAAATGGATGGAGTTAAAGAACATTAGGACACAATAACTAAAACAATAGAATAGAATAGACTTTATTGTCATTACACAGTCATGTGCACGTTCTATCAAAGTACTGCAATGTTTACTTCATGAGTACCACTATAACTGTAGGACAACATGTATCATGAGTACTTTAATTTGTCACACTCAATCAGATTTTAAGAATAATAATTACATGTTTACTTAGGTGAAATTTGAAACAAGGGTGTAGTATTGCATATCAACAAAGTGCAACACTGAAAAGAGAAAGTGTCACTACAAAGATACCGAGTAACTTTACTCTTACCCAGTGGGTTAGATTACTTCACACATCACTGGCTGTCTGCTGTTTATACTTCAACCCTTAGAAAAAATTGGTTTTTTCATAATTTGGGTGAATTTCTTTGGGGAAAAATGACTGATTGTACTAAAACACTTATTTTGGAAAATAATATGCTTTTGTAAAACTTTGGTGGATTTTTACTTCACTGTCAGACAGTAGTGTCGGGGGGGTGGGGGGTTATTCCTGTTCTCTTATCTTATAGCAGGATTATAGACAAACAGCTGGATGGATCATCAACATACTTGATACAGACATTGGTGGGGACCAACAATAGAAGTGATTAGATTGTGGGTGAAAAGGGTCAAAGGTCAAGGTCACAAAATCCCTATTGTTAACATTGTGCAAAATTTGAAAAAAAAATCATATCCCATCAAAAGTTATTGAAATCATTTGAAATTTGACACATATGTAGGATGGCAATGTCTGTCACCAGAACAGATTTCATCTGGATCTGATCCAGATTCTGGATCTGATGGCCATTTAATTTAACACTAAAAACCCCATTTAACACATAAGTTCTGCCATAACGTGGCCTCTAATGACGATAGAACTCTGAAATGTTCAGGTAAGATCCACAGTGTAAACGCCTATCATACCCAAAAAGATGATCTGGATCCAGATCCAGGATTTTATGGTGTTCTGGATCTCAATTTTCACAAGGAACCCCTATTGCATGAGCGATCTCATTTTTCACAAGGAACCCATTTGCGTGAACCGGTGCTGTGCCTTGGTGGAGGTACATGCGCTCTCTTCTTTTATTTGGATATTGTTTGCCAACTTTTATTTTACTTTAAACAGGTATAAATATGCTCGTTTGATACGAGACACTTCACTGTCTGTAAAGAAGGTAAGAATGATGCCGTACAAATAAGGTGTGTATATCCACAGTGTAAAACAAAACGATGTGATTTGATATAAAACCTCGCTCCTGCCTTTCAGGAGCTGAAGCTTCTAGCAGCACTTGAAGGCAGCACCGTGGTGCGTTCACGGTGAAGGAGTGGCTCCGCAGTTTGCCCGCATGTCTCCAGTTTGTTTATAACGTGAGCTGTCAGGTGGCGCCGCATCACGTCCAGGATCTCTGGTCTTCAGCTGAGGCGGATTCACTCGCGGTCCAGATCCACGTCCCGACGCAAACTCCTGCTCGGTGAGTTGTACACGTTTTGTTGTGGATGCGCTGATTGATACGTCGGTGTCCGGTGTCTCCAGGGGACACACCGAGGGAACGAGTGTGAGTCCTGGTGGAAAAGACGTTTCACCAAGTAATCGGAATATTTTGAATGAGTTTATTAACACATTATATAGATGTAGTTTATACCCAAAAATTACAAAACCAAGTAGAGTAACAACCCAGCAAGCGACACTAATAGATAATATATTTACCAATGTTATTGACAGCAAAATGACAAGTGGATTACTTATAAATGATATTAGTGATCATCTACCTGTGTTTGTGGTTTATGATGGCCAGTATAGAAAAGAGAGGCCAAAAACAAATCTTTTCTATAGGAGGGTGATGAATGAACATGCTGTAAGGAGGCTAAAAGAGGATTTTATGGGGCAAAACTGGGAATCAGTTTACAGAGAGGAAGACTTAGATAAAGCATATGAGCAATTTTTAAATATATTTAAGAAAGTATATGACAGGAACTGTCCTCGTAAGCAGTATAAAAACAAAAGGAATTACAGTGGGAAACCATGGATGAGTAAGGGATTACAGAATGCATGTAAAAAGAAGAATGTGTTATATAAGGAATTCATAAAGGACAGATCAAAGAAGGCGGAAGAAAAATATAAGTCATATAAGAACAAATTAATTGAGATTTTGAGGAGATGTAAGAAACTATATTACTCTAAAGTATTAGAGGATAATAAAAATAACATGAGAGGTAAGTGGAATATATTAAATAAATTGATTAGAAACAGTTCCAGCAAGAGTAACTACCCTCAATATTTTATGGATAATGATACACCGGTCAATAGATTGGAGGATGTAGTAGATAAGTTTAATAGGTTCTTTGTGAATGTTGGTCCTGGTTTAGCAAGAAGCATTTGTACAGATGATACATCCGTCACTATAAATAATAATACAATCGAAAGGAACATGAGTTC